CAAGTAATGAGCTAACTGTTCCTCCAGCTATATTGAGATTCCAAACATGTCTCTCTGTAAAAGCGAATGGCTATGGAGTTGCATTTCATAAGTGAGTCTTCTAATTTCTTGACATGTGGTGTAGCAGACACTACTAAGCTATTTGAGTCATAAAAATGGGTATTATAAGTATCTCATAGGCCAGCTATACAAACATTTTAAAAAGAACTACCCTGATTATTGATGTAAGAGCATCTCCAGGACAGTCAACGTTGGAAGATTTGTACATAAACAAATGATTGAATGGTTTTGCCTAAAGTTGGTGTCATACTATTAATTGTTTTTGCCAATAAAACAGATGTGTCAATCATTCTACTTCAATGGGAAACAAAATGTTCATTGGTTTGGGCAGTGGTGGCACATGCCTTTAATCCCAGCACTCGGGAGGCAGAGGCAGGTGGATCTCTGTGAGTTTGAAGCCAACATGGTCTACAAGAGCCAGAGCTACTAAAATGTAGAATGGATTTCTTGATATAGATTATTTCCTTGTTTGAGGATGTGTGCCATTTTGAGTGGGTTTGGGAATTTCAAAGGCCTACACCAGGATCAGTTTCTCTCTCTCTCTCTCTCTCTCTCTCTCTCTCTCTCTCTCTCTCTCTGTCTCTCTGTCTCTCTGTCTCTCTCTCTCTCTTTCTCTCTCTCCTACAGATCAGTATATAAAGCTCTCACAGAGACTGCTCTAGTGCCATGCCAGTATGCTCTCCACCATGATGATAATGTACTATCATGGAAACTGTAAGGCAGGCCCCAACTAAACATTTTCCCATATAAGAGTTGCTTTGACCATGGTGTCTCTTCACAGCAATACAAGAGTGACCAGGATCATATCTTAGGTTACCAGTAGAGTCTCCTTTGTATTATAGCCATAATTTTCTCAAATTCATGCAAATACTGAAAAAAATTCCCACCCCAAAAGTTGGGCTTATTTTGTTCAAAAACTCCACCATTAAAAAAGAAACAATAATTGTATAGACTCTACTTTAACTTCTAGGAACAAAAATAAGCTGTTTTCATGATTTAATGTGTCATAAGTTGAAATATTTATATTTCATAGCTTTATAATTAGTGCATTCAGGTGGAACAGACTGGATAGAAAGTGAGGGACAAATCTTTAATCCCATATGACTAAACAAAAAACAGTATTATATATTCTTTTTTTCACCAATCATTCTGACTCTGTTTTTTATTAGAATACATCTCATTTATACTATTGTTTATTTTGTTTTGCTTTCTGGTTTACAAAATGTCTAACTGATGGAACTGCATAGATCTTGGCATGATTTCCCAGAGTACTGAGCACACTTTGAGATCTTCCCACACGATGACCTCACATAACTCTTTCTTGTTTCGTTTTTACTATGAATGGACTCAGTCCCCTAGGAATCCACCACACAGATTCCCTCCAAAAAACTTTTGGAGGGGAAGAATGATGTTAAGGTTGCCTGTTCACTTTAACAAGCTTGACTTTAGAATACTAACAGGCACATGGGATCCTACCCCTATGTAACTTACTTGTACCTTTGAATCAGACATAAGTAAGTCAGTAAACTTATAATGATGTCCTCTGAGATGTGGTTCTGGGCTCAGGTATAAATACTGGCTGTGTTCTCTACTCCTGTGGGAGGGGATTACCAGGCTATGAGATAACAAGCAGAAAGGAAGTGGAGACTTTCTATGCTAGTTACCATTTTGAAATCACCTTGTTGTACAGGGTCAAGGGTTACAGAACAGAAAACTGGGAAATCTTAACAGATATTTTTTAATTGATTTTTTATTGAGCTCTACATTTTTCTCTGCTCTCTCCTTCCCTTCAACCTTCTCCCAAAGTCCCCGTGCTCCCAATTTACTCAAGAGATCTTTTCTTTTTCTACTTCTCACGTAGATTAGATCTTAGTCTCTCTTAGTGTCCTCATTGTTGTCTAAGTTCTCTGGGATTGTGGTTTGTAGGCTGATGCTTTATGTTTAAAAACTACCTATGAGTAAATACATGTGATAATTCTCTTTCTGTGTCTAGGTTACCTCACTCAAAATAATGTTTTCTAGCTCCCTCCATTTTCCTGAAAAATTAAAGATGTCATTATTTTTTCTGCTGTATAGTATTCCATTGTGTAAATGTACCACATTTTTCCTATCCATTCTTTGGTCGAGGGGCATTTAGGTTGTTTCCAGGTTCTGGCTATGACAAACAAAGCTAATATGAACATAGTTGAGCATATGTCCTTGTGGCATGATTGAGCATCCTTTGGATATATACCCAAAAGTGGTATTACTGGGTCTTGAGGAAGGTTATTTTCTAATTTTTTGAGAAATCGTCAAACAGACATCCAACGGGCTCTACCAGCTTACATTCCCACCAGAAATGCAGGTGTATTCCCTTTACCTCACAACTTTTCCAGCATAAGTTGTCATTAGTGTTTTTTTTTTATCTTAGTCATTCTAAGAGTTGTTTGAATTTATATTTCTCTCATGACTAAGGATGTTGAACATTTCAATTAACAGATATTTTATCAATGAAAAAAATTAAGGGACAGAGTGGGGTAATATGTGTATGAATTTTGGAGTAAATTTAGTAGTATTCTAGTCCTAACTAAACTGTTTTCAGCTATGTGACCTAGGGTACTACATTTAATTTTGGAAGGATGTATGCATTTTATAGATCAAAACATGTATCTGTTTCAGATTTTATTAAGATTGGCTTCTCTTCAGCAACATGTGTCTAATGCTTCTCTGAGTTACACAAAGTATTTGTCACCAAAGTGGTTGTTCTACTTTTAAGTAGTGTGCAGCATGAATATGAACATAATAATAAACATGGCAATAAACATATATTCCTATCTGGTCTCTTGGAGACTCTTTTTGTATTTTTTTAACTGAAATTTTTAATTTCCATACAGTTATACATAAGACATTCTCCATACCTTCATATTATCTTTAATTTCCATACAGTTATATATGAGACATTCTCCACACTTCCCTACTATCTTTTCTTGCCTGGTGTCCCCTGTCATTCATCTTTGTTCCCTAAGAAAGTTCAGCCCCTACTTTAGGTCGCATAGATATGCACATATAGTCTTATACATCTGTATAAAATCTAGGAATTATAACTAAGAAAAAGAATGCTTCTCTTTCTGAAACTGACATAACTTTCTTCCTGTGATTATCCACCTTTCTTCAAACAACCTCTTTATAATCAATAAAGAAAATCCCATCGTGTGTATGTATGTATGCATACTTATAATATTTTTCTTATTTTCTGTTGTGGGATGTCTAGTTTTGTTTTGTAGCACAGCTATTGTGAATAGTACTGCATTAACCACTGATGAAGACCCTGTCATATGGTTTAGAGTCCCACTGATCCTGTGAAAACCATGTACTCACCAAGATGAGTCTCTAATCTGCCCTAGTGGAGCCATTCCTGAATGTATTGAGTCATAATGTCCCTTATCTATGAAAATATTTATGTTATCTTTGATGTCAATATCTACAATTTTCTCTTTATCATTAGGATATTTTCTTTTAGACATTCAGAATGTGTGTATTTTGTGCTCTTAACTCAACATGTCTATGCCTCACTTACAACCCATAGTAAGCCTCCTGGCTCCTCCTGTATAATTGTACTTATCTTCCTCAAGTGTGAGGAGGTAAGAAATAGCTGCATTGAATTTTTCACACACTAAAAAGTCATGATGTGTAATATTTACACAAGGAATCATATTATCTGAAGCATAAAGTAGAGTGCCCAGAATTAGTAGTAGTTATGTGCTAGTTGGAAGACTTCATCCTGGGAATCCAGTGTTATTCTTAGCAACTGAACTCCTCTTAATCTCCTGCTCTGGGTTTGTTGAATCAATCATCCTCTGGCATGAGGGAAGTTATACATGACACAGATTGATAAAATAGTGTATTAAATACTCAATAAATTAGAACATTTAAGGTTCAGAAAGAAAGTTCATTTGTATCGATTTGTTTTGTTTTGTTTTGTTGGGTTTTTTGTTTGTTTGTTTTTCAAGACAGGGATTCTCTGTAGCTTTGGAACCTGTCTTGGAACTTGCTCTTGTGGACTAGACTGGCCTTGAACTCACAGAGATCTGCCTGCCTCTGCCTCTCAAGTGCTGGGTTTAAAGGCGTGTGCCACCACCACCTGTGTGGTTTGTGTGGGCTCTTAAGGTGGATGTAAGCAAGGCAGGTATGGAGGCAAGCATCTTGTCTATAAAGTTGAAAACTGTACATTCAGTCTTAACATAATGTGAGTTGTGAGGTTACTTCTTGCCTCTGCTTTCATTCTGCTATATTCCTTAGGTTAGAGTTTACCTTCTAGTACCTTCTGTAGAGCTGAATTTGTGGATAGGTAATGTGTAAATTTGGTTTTCTCATGGAATATATTTTTTTCTCCATCTATCACGATTGAAGTTTTGCTGGGTATAGTAGTGAGCTTGCATCCATGATTTCTTAGAGTCTGCAGCAAACCTGACCAGGTCCTTCTGGCTAAGGAGGCTATTTTTTAATTGCACCATTTTACTTTGTGAAAAACAAGTCATTGATAAGAAAGGATTTGTGAGCTCTTCTCTGACAAGTAGCAGCATGTAATTATTTTAGATTTTTACTCCATAGTCATGACCTCACCTCCTCAGAGTTAGACAAGGGAGCAGTATTCTTTAGTACTGACTAAGGATGGCTCCCTCAGGGACAGTGGGGTCTTTATTGATCAGCTGGGTGCTAGTTCACAGGACCTCACTGTTCAACAAATAGGCATAGTTTCCATTTTGAACCATCATATTTATTCCTAATCTCACAAATTGAGTTCATGAAAGAACTTGGCTGAACATCTTTGTCCGTTCACCCACAAATGGCAAGTTTTCTCGGTTACCAGCTCTGTGTAACTATGCTGCGGCTTACAACAGAGTGGATGATCCCAAGCAAGGCAGGATGAGGTCCTCCTTCCAGCCGGCACTCAGCTCAAAATTCAAGAGGTGTGTTATGCTACAGTGTCAGCTAACGTTTAAAAAATCACAACACAGGATGTATTATTAGTCATCTCTATATTCTTATTATCAATAAAGTCTCAGAAAAACTATCCTTGCTGGAAAGCAAAAACTGTGCTCTCCCTCCCCCAGTGGCAATGAACATAACAAAGAAAGCAAAAGGTAATGCCTTAGCCACAAAATAAATGCATGTGTGAAAAAAATCCTAACACATACAATACCTGTAAAATACTTAATCTTATCAATATTTTGCATTTATTATATTCCAGACCCTGTTATGAGTTGGGTTATTGTAGGTTAAAGAATAGAAAAGTTCTATAATCAAAGAATTTACAGGTATGTTGAATAAAAATAATAAAGAAGTAAGCAAATAAAGCGAATGTCTTATATCATGTATGGGTTAATATTCACTGTGCCTACTCACAAACACCTACAATGGACTATAAACTACTTTAAAGATTTAATGAATGTGTTTATAAACCATTTTCTAAATTTAACGAGTTTATTTTTCCTTGCTAACTATTACCAAAGTATTTTCAGCATTCTTGCATTTCTCTGTAAGAGCGTATTTAACAAATATGTCTCATTTCTGCATTTATAACAAAAACGTAACTGTAACCAAAAAACCAAAATATTTTAATGTCTTTGAATTTTCACGTGGCATTTTGATCTTTATGAATTTTGTGTTTATAACAACTTCCAATAGTGAGTCCATGGTCTAAATAAATAATCATTTATGTTTCATCAGACGATTTCCTCCCAGCATGCTCTGGACAGCAGCCTTCACGTCCTTGTTCCTCAGACTGTAGATGAGAGGATTGAGCATGGGGGTCACCACCCCATAGAAAAGGGAGATGAGCGCCTCAGTCACACTTTGACGTCCTGCCCCAGCAGTGGCTTTAGACTTGGGCTTTGCATACATGAAGAAGATGGTACCATAGAATATAATCACCACTGTCAGATGGGCAGAGCACGTGGAGAAGGCCTTCTGTTTTCCTTCAGAGGAAGGGATCCTCAGGATGGTGGCAATGATGAAAACGTAAGAGATGGCAATGACTATCAATGGAAGAGCTAGGAAAAGCAGATTTGACCCTGCCATGCTAATCACATTGACTGAAATATCTCCACAAGCCAGTTTCACAATGGCCACAAATTCACAGACAAAGTGTTGAATGATGTTATCAGTACAGAATGGTAAATGCACTGCCAGAGATGTCTGCACCAACGAGTCAACATTCCCAGCAACCCAGCATCCAACCGCCATGGGCACATAGGTACCCTTGCTCATGATGACAGGGTATCTCAGTGGGTAGCAGATGGCCAGAAAGCGGTCAAGTGCCATCGTGCCTAGGAGCACACATTCTGTGGCACCCATGGCAAAGGAGAAGAACATTTGGACCATGCACTCAGGGAAGGAAACTCTCTTCCTTCCTTTCAGGAAGCTCCCGAGAATGAGTGGGACAGAAGAGCTTGTGTAGCAGATGTCCAGGAAGGAAAGGTTGCAGAGGAAGAAGTACATGGGGGTGTGCAGGTGCACGTCATAGACGACTACTGAGATGAGGACTCCATTCCCAAGCAGGATCAGCAGATACATGCACAAAACCAGCACAAATAAAACTTTCTGGAGCTTTGGGTGGTCAGAAAGCCCCACCAAGACAAATTCTGTCAACATGGAACCATTGGCTCTCTCCATATGAATATGCCCGTCCTCCAGCAGAACTCTGGGGAGAGTAGGAAGAAATCTATTAATAAGTTTATAAGAGCCACTTCATAAAATAAAAATATTCTTTGTTACACATGGCCATATTTATACTTCATGGTATCAAGGGGGAAGAGTTACTTTTTCTATGTGGTGAATAATTAAAAATTTTTCATTTTAAAAGATTTTTAATTAAAACAGAATTACATTGTTCACTGATACCGTTACTTCCTGTAGCCCTTCCTATCTACCCTCCTTGAACTTTTTCATACCTCCTTACTCTCAAGTTAATTGACTTTTTCCTTTGGTTATATGTAATATGCATGTGTGTGTACGTGTGTGTGTGCGCTCATGTGCACATGCATGTGTGTATCCACAAATATATGTAAATACAATTTGCTGAACTCATTTTGTTGTTAGTATGTTAAAGTTTCTCAGCATGAATCAGGGCCTAGCACAGGTAATGCCTACCTGAGTTTTCTCCATTATGACAGGGAATCTCTAGATCCCAAACAGTTATATTGCCGTGTATGCAAGTTCTGATTTAATTGGTTGGAAATGAGTGTCTAATAGCCTTAATGTGGTGCAAAAATGTTGGAAATTTGTTGCCTATAATACAATGTTTTGTCTCCGTCTATTGTAGTTAGTAGTGCATATGAACCAAATAAACTAGTGGGTTTCACCATCACCTTTTCTTTCTTTTCATTACTACTGTCCAGGTTTTTGGTTTTATTGGTTGCTTGTCACCCAGGATGGAAACCAGGAAGCAGCTCTGCTGACTTACTAAATGTTCAGGGTCAGCATCTTACAGAAATACTGAAGCACAGAATCTGAAAAGTGTTCACCAGGTGTTCAAACATGATCATTTAAACAGACATAACAAATTAAGACAAGTCGGGATCAGGTAGAATACAGTAGTTTCCTTGAAAGCCTTTTCTGCATTGCAATTGAATGTGGGGGAGGGGCAGCGATATGGCCAAATGCTGCCTGCCAACAAGCCTGAGGACCTGGGTTCCACAGCTCGAACCCACAGGATCGGAATAGCGGACTGGTTCTGCAAACTGGTCCTCTGACCTCTACAAGGGCACCTTGACATGCAGGTGTCTGTGTGCGCACACTTAAAGAAACAACAGCAGAAACTGGGTAGAATTTACTACCCAGAGTTGGGAGCCTATCCTAGCTAAGTTTTTTGGGAAATCTGGCTTGAAGGAACTGATCGTGACATCACCTGTTGCCAAATGAAGTTAGCGACAGCTCAGATGTCCATGATCTCTGTAACAGTTCTGTCACATGGATCTGTTTTCAGAAATTGGAAGCAAATGAGTCTAACATCTACAGCAACATAAACAGATTACTGAAAAATTGTCAAAGTGATTTATGATTTATATAATATAATAAATCATAGGAATTAAAGTAAGATTTCACCAGGATCCATGCAGTTTTAGAGATACATTTAAAGAGATTGTGAGTTTAAGGAGAAGATATTAATGGAATCAGAGAATATACGTAAGGAAGGGAGACTTTTAAAAGAACATGGGAAATAAAAGACAGAGAACAATTGATAAGAACACAGATCAAAAAGGCACAGCAGATAAGAGCACATGCACAAAGTACAGGAGACATATAAGGCATCATTTTAAAGAGCACTGATAAAAATTCAGTTTTAGTGGAAGAGAGCATTGTAAATATAAAATGGGCGAAGCAACCACTACACTTATTTATTAAAAACAATAAATAATGGATGGACAGAGAAAGAAAAACATGACAAGAAAAAAAATTAATTCAAAAGTTGTCTAGAAAACATGTTTTTAAAAATACAATTTGGAATCTAGCTAAAGAGAAAGTCACAGAACGGAGGATTGCTCAGTAATAAGGGAGAATGAAAAGCAGCTCCCAGGATGAGTGGGAGGCAGTGTTTGCCCAAGAGCCTGTGGTCTAACCTGAGATAGAAGAACATGGCTATCTTAGAGTCTCAGAGTCACTAGGCTTCACATAGTCAGGAGAAACATGCTCATAGGGTGTACAAAGAACAGACTCAGAAGAATGAAGGGGTTGCTCCCTACTGACATTTCTGCTTTTTATGTGGAGTTTGGCACTCTGTTTTATAGCAAAACTCATGAGCCATTTTCAATTTTTCTATTTGTGTGGTCAGAAAGCTCCACTAAGAAATTACAACTGGGCTGGACTCTTCTTTCTTTAAAGAATCCATTTGAGTGTGGGGAGGGCTGGAGCACAATATGGGTTCTGGTAAAAGAACAATGATAATGCTCTATAATAAAGAATGTTTGTAGGAAACCATTTATTTTCCCCCAGAAAGCCTCTGAATTGCTCCATGAATAAGCTTAGACAGACTTCAAAGAGTGGGAGGAAGCTCATAGATAAGGGACTATGTCAGGATCTCATCACATGGTCCCCATGAGCTGAGAAGCACAGTCTTAGGCAATTGACTGAGGCCATTGTGTCCTTAGCGCACATAGAAAAGTGACAATATAGTAAAGGACAACATTCTGATGGGTAAGGAAAGGAATGTTGACTTGCACTTTAGTGGGGTATGTTAAATGTAATGTTAAGAAATTATAATTTGCCAAGGTCCAAGGAGAGATCCCCAGATTGTTCTCTGGACAGAGGAGAGTGTGCCTGAACCGGCCTTGGCCCATAACCATACTGATGAATATTTTGCTTATCACCATAGATCCTTCATCAGGCGAAGGACGGCGATACAGACGGAGACCCACATTGGAGCACCAGACTGAGCCCCCCAAGGTCCAAATGAGGAGCAGAAGGACGAAGAAAATGAAAAAGGAAATAAGGACTGCGGGGGATGTTATCACCCACTGATACAAGGGGACGGATCTAATGAGAGTTTACCAAGGCCAGTTGGACTGGGACTGAACGAGGACACGATCCAACCAGATTCTCTGAATGTGGCTGGCCCGGAGTCTTTCTGAAAAGCCATTGACAATGACACTGGGACTTGTTTCCTCTGCATATACTGGATTTTGGGGATCCAGTCTGTTTGGATACTTACCTTCCTGGACCTGGAGGGAGGGGGGACGAACTTGAACTTCCCACAGGGCAGGAAACCCTGACTGCCCTTAGGGACGAAGAGGGAGGAGGAGAGGGAGTGGGGGGAGTGGGAGGGTGTTGGGAAGAGGGGCGTAAATGGAAACTTTTATAAATTTAATAAAATTACTTTCAAAAGAAAAAAAGAAATTATAATTTGTTCTTAAGGTAATTGGGAGCCACTGAAGTTTGACCAGGAGACATTAAGTATGAAAGCACTAGGAATAGATTCATTGGGACCTTCTAAAGAACTGTCCCTGTCTCATCAACACTCGACTGTCAGAATGCACTCCACACTCAGTCTTCAGGGAAATCACTTCTTCTTCTTTGGTGCATAGAGAACAGGACTCAAATCCATCTTGTTTAGATAATAGAGACACAGTTCATTTTAGGACAGCTTGATACCAGAAAATTTGATTTTCCTAGAGAAAGACACAATCTGTCTGTCACCTATGAGTTCTCAGTTCAATTCTATAAATGCATACCAAGCACATCTACCTCATTTCATTCAGAGGTCAGACTAAAGCTTTGCTGGGTTCTTCACAGCTAGGTGCTGGCTGATACTGAGTTATTAAATCACTAATGCCATTCATAACAAAACCTGTCTCCTTCTCCCTGGGTTTTCTGGTCTCCTTCACTTGTGAGGGTACAAGTCACTTCTCCAGGAACCCGGAGAAGGAAAAACCCATAGGTTAAATTCAGGGACTTAGGCCATGGGCCTCATAGGAACCTAAGTTTTTTGTTATCCAAGGCAATTCTAATTTTTGTTGTTGTTGTTGTTGTTAGAAGAAAGGCTATCTCTGTCTTCTAGCTCCATTATGTCATGAGAAAGAGCAAGTTTATCAAGGCACTTCTCAGTGGGTAGAAAAATGTCCTTGGTTTTCATAAAGGGCACAAGCGTCTTCAGGACATCATCAGTTATCACACCTGCGATATCTGTTATCACAGTGTGTATGTGTGTAAAAAGACCGTGACCTCTGCTGGGTGGCAGTACGCTGAATTTCTAGTTCCCTTCAGCTTTGTGTGCTCACATATGGCACTAATAGAGGCTCATTAGCCTGAGCTAAGCTCTGATGTGATCACTTACGCTGAATTTATGGTAGAGTGTAGGAATTTCAAACACATTTGATTCTTCCTTGGGTCATAATTAGTTGCAGTTAAGAGTCTCAGACCCGAAGTAATGTTCCTTTGCAAATAATAAACAAGAATAAAGAGGCTTTAATTACAGTAAAACTGGCTTAGGGAAAGCAAGAAAGTATTTTTAAAAGAGGTAGTTTATGTTTATTCCTATATACAGAGGATTGTATATAATATGGATCAATTCAAATTCAAATATAGGAATCAGATTCTGTATTAATTTGAAACAAATAGTCATTGTGATATACATCAATGATATATCTCATCTACTTAAAATTATTTTTTAGGCATTGTGGTCAGAGACATATTCAGATTGTTGTATTGGAGTTTCATAAATTTGGAATAAAAATTTTCAGTAGATTATGCATGTACTAATAGTGTTCAAGTTACTTGGCTACTGAAGAAATGAGACAATATCTGTTTCACAATATTTCTAAGTTCTAGCCAAAGAAGCTCAGGGTCTATTCTTATTACTTGAAAAATAGGGGATAAAGTAAAATGAATGCTTTCGTGTAGGCAAATATTATGCTGGAAAAGAAATTAAACCTGAGTTTAGAACAAGCAAAGACCCTTGTCTGTCTTTAAATGACATCAATTCTTACCAAAAAGCTTTCCTGTGGATGATATCCAGTGTTCCAAAATGCAAATCTCTGTGACACCAAATGAAGGAAGCTCTGTATGTGAGGGGAAAAATAGATGTCTCCACTTAAAGCATCTATGTTGATAGCTTATCCACAACTTCAAACTCAGAATTACAAAACAAAAGGACAGAATACGATGAAATTCTGAGCCTGAAGCGTAGGTTGCTTTCCTGGT